GATCTCGGCTCACAGCAACCTCCGCCTCCAGGGGGTTCAAGCGATTCTCCTGCCTCAGCCTCCTGAGTAGCTGGAATTACAGGCGCGCGCTCCACACCAGGTCTAATTTTTCTATTTTTAGTAAAGACGGGGTTTCTCTATGTTGGTCAGGCTGGTCTCCGCCAGTGCATTCCAGCCTGGGCGACTCAGTCTCAGAAAAAAAAAAAAAGATTAGCACCTATTACGTGGCAGACCCTCGCTGTGCGATGTTGGCAGGCACAGAGGGAACTCAGACTCGTTACTGCTCTCAAGCAGCTGCTACCAGTCCGACTGACAGAACCAGACAAGGTCAGTTTCTTAAGTGATCTGAGCTATAATGGCGGTAACAGGGCACTGTGAGAGCCCGCAGAAAGCTCCTAACCCATCTGGGATGAGACCTAGCGCTTCCAGGACGAGCTGATGTTGAGCTGAGACCTCGAAGGAAAGGTTAGTCATTCACCTTCTCCCCGGCTCAGTTTCTTCATCTGTAAAATAGGCTTTCATACATAAACTATAAAATGAGGACTATTTTGTTCCGCCTTAGGTGGTCTCAGTAGGAGGACTAGTCACCCCAGAGCAACTTCTAGGCAGAGACTAACGAGATTCCACGAAGGTCCGCAAAGTCAGGCTTGCGCTTGCTCCTGGCACTACTTCCTTTACCTCCGCGGCTCCATCTTTGTTCTGCGCTAGTGCGCACGCGCAGACTCCGAAAGCCGTACCTTGCACAGAGGGACCACAACTCCCAGAGTGCTCCGCGTCCTGGCTTTCGCCTCCACTTCTGCTCCAGGGCGCACGCGCAACCCAGGGAGCGAGTTCTCGCGCGTAGGGACCACAACTCCCAGAGTGCTCCGCGTCCTCGCCGGTGTCGCCGCCGAGACCAAGATGGCTGCAAGTAAGTGCAGGTGCCGGTGGCGCACGGGGCTCGGTGGTACCGGGAACCTCTGGGCGGTCCTGGGACTGAGGTGCGGCAGGGCAGTGGTGGAGGCGATGGGGTCCGTGCTGGAGGGGGACGCAGAAGTCACGAGGGGGCTCCTCCAGGGCAGGGGTGGCACGAGAGGGTTAGAGGTCACGGGGGGCAGCCACTTGCAGGGGTGACCCTCCTCGCCACCCCTTCAGGACTCGGCGCCTTCCTCAAGAATGTCTGGGACAAGGAGCCAGTGCTGGTCGCGTCCTTCGTCATCGGAGGCCTCGGTGCGTGAGTGCTTCAGGCGCAAACTTGCATCGTCCACTCCCGTCCCCCTACATCCCTCCATCTTGTACCCCTAAAGCCCTGTCGCCTCCCTCGGCTCCCCTCCAGTGTGTCTGCACCCCCGCGACATCCCCTTGTCTATCCCCATACCCATTATAACGCCTCCACCGCCCCCCGCATTCCTCTCCTCCTATCCAATACTCTCTTAACCCCTCTAAATGAGACGTCCTCAACCCTGCTTATGCATTAGCAACACCTGAGCACCAAAAATAAAGTCCAGATCCTCCTCCTCCCTTTCATCTCCCCTCTCCCACATTCTGAATTGAGTTGGTTTGGTTGGAGGTGGGACTGGGGAATCTGTGTCTTGTGAAAATCCCCCTATGATCCTAATGTGTTGTCTTGCTGATTGAAAACCTCAGCCCTGGAACTGTGCTACTCACACCTTAATTAGCACCGCAGTTCCTGCAGGGATGGGGCCTTTTTTTTCTTGGAGATGGAGTCTCACTGTCACCCGGGCTAATGTGCAGTGACGCGATCCCA